GCTCGATACATACCGGAGAAAGAATAAAAACTGCATTCTGATGGCGTACAGTATGCATAAAAATTCAAATCTTTTCTCAGATGTGGGCGATTTGAGGATTCTGAGGAACAGAAGAGCGTTTTCCCCTGACTGATTGTTACATGCACCAACTTTTGAATGTAAACACATCGGGTTGTGGTTCTTCGGGTATATATATATATATTTCATGATGTTCCCGTGTTATTGACGTTGCTGGGACACCGCATAAGCCAGGGTAGCTGTGCTAGGCGGTAGCAATTTGTGGCGCATGTTTGCTTCCTGGCCAGAATACATATAGCTGTCAGCTTCTTCCAGATTAGCATTGTCTGGTCGTGAGAATGTAGTCGCTTTGCAGTACCGTCGTTCTCGATGTGAGAGCGAATCATCGTGGACCGGCCTCTTATTTCTTGCTTTAAGAGCGCAAACACGGTGCCTGTATCCGGATTTGGTCTGATTCGGTGCTCACGAACTATTCCACGCAGCGATGGGAGCCCGCATTGTCGCTTGGCTGGAGCTTATAGCAGAGGGGTCTTCGGGATGCTGTTATGCAACTCTTAAACCATCCTGACGTCTTTAAGACTACCTGCGCAGGTTCCAGAAGTTTATCAGTCCTCGGTATGGAAGTGCGGTACATGAGCCGCAGTTGCGAATTCGGCATCCTTCCGAATTTTCTCTGCGCTTGCGAGCACTTGTCAATCTGATAATAGGGCATCACTGTGAAGCTGTCAAGCTCATCCGGGCCGTGCACACTCAAATACACGCCTCCGCATCCGCCTTGCTACTGTCGCTTCCTTGCGTTCCTCTGTCTGTGTGTTGAGTGAATCAAACTATCTTTCGGCACGGAACTGTCTCCCTCGTCAGCGTGTTTTTGCCTGTGCCACTGCCCGACGTTGGCAGGCTACAGTCACTTGCGTACAGTTGGACGAGGGAGAGGAGGAACAACACTATGGCAGTGATAAGAGACGCATACTGAAGGTGGCTGGGGGAAAAAGGACCTGACATAGATCTGTGTCTCACTGTTCCACTGGAAGTGCTGTTGGGATAGTGGCAGCAGGACGGGCCGATTCGCTTCATCTAAGTTTGCCCGACCAGCGATC